AGCCCGTAGCTGTGTATAATAGTGACCGCGATATAAATCTATCGAGCGAGTCAAAATGTGGACGAAAGTCTTTTAGTATTTGCGAAAGTAATTTTTGGAATTATACTTAACAGTAATTATCGACTGGATAATACGAATTATACTTCGTAGTATTAACTTCTGTTATGATCGTTTTTACCATGGACTAATCACAATCGAGCCTGTTCCAAGTTGTTTTCAAAATGGGCATTATCCAATCAAAACGCTCCCCAACTCATTCCAAAGTCCTCGTTTCAAAATGGGGTCGTTTCATCCCATTTTCGACAACCCATCGCCGCGCCGAACTACTGGCTGAAATTATCGCCCTCACCACCCCCGCGTGCACAAACTTCGAAGTATAATGCTAAATCCCCTAGTATGGTCAGAGTACAAAACATATGCATAGAGTTTATTAGTTTGAACGGTTTTCAGTCTTGGCTGAACGGTATTCAGATTTGTTGAATGTTTTTCAGGGGAAGTCCCCATTATTCGCGATTTTCGAATTCTACTTGGAACAGGCTCTAAAGTGACATGAAACAGGTTGTCAGTACCACCTTCCGATCTGACGCGTCGTACATGGCGGTCAAATTCCTTCTCAATTCCCAAAATGTGATCTTTCGCATTCCGTGGAACTTCGTGTTTTCTCTGAAAAACAAAGGCCCACTGATATGATGAATTGTCATCAATGATGGTGCATGAGTACCGCATATCACTTGTTGTTCCGAATTGGTCCCATTGACGCACAGGACCACAAATGTCAATGTATGACGTACCAAATGTCTCGTGGGTTCTATACCCTTGAGCATTCCTAAAGGACATCCTTTTGTGTTTCATTGCCACACAAGTATGGCAGAAGAATGGCAGTGTATTCAGCGTATCCTTAGACACTTATGGGATGCATTTGACTTTGCCTTCCGACATCATTGTGACTAGTCTTTCGCTGGTATGACCGAGTCGAATGTGCCACTCTCTAAAAAGGGACACTAACTGGTCGAGACTGATCCTAATGGGTCGTGAAACTTTGTGCTTCGCTATGTTGCATCTATGCTGGCGTTCACTCTGAGTGTAAAGCTTCTAATGTAGTAGACCTCATTGATCGCCACAGCTACAAAGCACAATGTGCCTTGGTAGAACACATACTTATACCTACCACAGGCGCTCTCAATTACTTGCCCTCCATCCCTCTTGATCACATTCTCACTTAGAATTTGGCTTGCGCTCCTGGAACGAGTGCTACTTTTTCAAAGCTAAATCGACGAATTCCACTAGGGGTGTCGAAAACAACTAACCAAGGTGAGAGCTGTGTAGCTTAGATCCTTGCCCAAACTTAAAAACATGACCTGTATTAGGATTTATCTTGTTAAACCAGGCTATATTGCCGGTTAAGTGGTAACTGGACAATTCCATCCACAGTGAGGATGTTGTTCACGAGCTAAGCTCAAGAAAATTATTGGGATCTTCAACTACGTGCTCTTGCACCCAATGATCCTCATTTGGGCCGTTTAGGGCAGATATAGGTTAGCCGGTTCCATACTCCGCAATACCACAAGGGATTTTAGTACCATCCACCTTAGGCCTCTTTGAATTCGGCTTTTGGGTGATGTTAGACCTAAACTCCTTGGACCCAAAATCCTCCTTTCGGTTAGCATTCCGACTTCACGTGTTGCTGGCCACCGACACTATACTGGCCAAAACCGTAGAAGCACTGCCCGCGAACCGAAACGTCGTTACTTGCGGGTCATTTCACCAAATAGCATTCAAATCCATTTGCCCTCATTTAAGCTTGAACAAACTATATTATACAAAGATTATTATATATGTGGCTTTGCCGAATACGGAGGAGTCAAACGTTTGGATTGGCAGAAATTCCACAGGACGTGATTTGATTGGTTTAGGCGGTTCTTGAATCCATTCTTTTAAGACATTCGATTCTGCTGAGGGCTCCAGTTTCGAATCGATTAGACAATATCTTGTTGCAAGGTTCTTGTGCTATAGGGGAAATTCACATTTACAGAACTACCGCTGTGTTTGGTGTTGTGGCTCTTCTGGAGCACCTACCGGTAGTGCATGCCTCCCAATCACTACGCATATCAACAAGCCGGTGCAGTAGGTGCAATGTGTGAATTTGTAACCTTGCATCTTTCAGATCAAATAGAGCGAGCACACAACAAAGGAATAGACACAGGTGCAACGGATGAACACAATGAAGACGGGCTCAGTGTGTTGGGGACGGCAATTGACTTGTGAAGAGCTAGAGCTCTTCAGTGTCACCAGCATCACATCACAGCCACAGAATGAACAGAGTAGGGAAACCAATCAAAATAGTTGAATCTGATTGGTCAATCATAATACTCCATTCTGATTGGCTGATGATTATCCAAACATACTAACACAAGCCACTGCACTACCAAATATAATACACGTGTATTATCAAAGGAAAATCCACAGTATTTTCCGGATACACTTAACATTCCCACTTGCAGTGGTTTGTAAATGCATATTGTGTATTCCATACAACGTTTCGAACGCCTATAAATTGTCGTAGAACATCGAACTGATTTTGTGAAGGCGACTTCGTAAGAACAGGGAATGACGTTAAATAAGCATGCAGGATTTCGGCGCATTTATTTTTTGATCGAACCAATCACAACAAGCCAATCAAAATTCTAAGCTCTTATTGGTCAATAGCTTTGGTGGCAATATATTGAAAACATTGATGCATGTAACCTTCCACAATCCATCTTGACTGTGAGTCCCAATGCCCGACGAGGGCCACCTTGCTCCACCCCAGTCCATCAAACGTCGCATCCGACCGAGCATAGCTCAGAAGCTCAATGCCATCGCTTTCGCCGAGCCCACGACAGTGCGAGTGGATGGCAAACCAAGCCAAGCTCAAGCGCTGCCGTGGTGTGAAGGCTACGAAGCAAAACACGGGCAAGAGTGGGGCCATACGTACCATCCCCGATGCACATGGCCTTGTCACCTACATGAAGGACCTGCGTCGGCAAGAGATGGCTGTCACGTCCTCCCATATGCTCCAGTACTTGCGTGAAGACCACCTGGACTGGATCGAGCACTACATGCGTTCACGTCGCTCGGGATACCAATCGCTGCTACGCCTGCTCCAGCACTTCGCGGAACGTCACGGTTTCTCGCGCCAGCGAATCTGCCGTCAAAAGAAGTCCCAAGAGGAACTGGAAGCCTTCGGGAAGCAGTTCCACGATAAGCACCCCGGTATCGACATGGACGTTTTGTACAACTCCGACGAGACAGGTATGTACTACGACATGTATCCCAACATTATCTGGGCCATTCGTGGCGGTGGGAGTTATGTTGCGAATTCGGAGCGGCACTCCTAGCCCATGACGGTGCTGTTGACGGTGCGAGGTGACGGGAAGAAATTACCCATACTCTTCATCATCCGTGGCGAGCCTGGTGGCGATATTGAGACCAATGAGTTTCCCGACTACCCACCCGAGCACTTCTACGCGATGTAAAAGAAAACCTGGATCAACGGCACTGTGTGGAAGTACTTCCTCCGCGACGCCCTCAAGCCGGACACTGAGAACCCGTCCATGTTGCTCGTGGACGACTATGACTCGCATGTCAGTGAAGAAAGCGAGAACATTGTTGGCGAGGAGTTGGGAAGCGAACTGTGTGCGTTGCCTCCCAACAGCACGTCTCATTGTCAGCCCCTAGATGTATCTCTCATGGGTACTCGGGGCCAATTGCAATGATCGGTACCTTTGTTCTCACTCCAGTTGCATACGAACACACCGAAATTTTGTCAGTGAGCATTGCGCGGCTGCCTGTCATCTGTTCTTTGGGGAAATTGGGGGGGGATGTGAGAGAAGCTATGGCTGGACCATCGACCCAATCCGTGTTTTTTTAATGACTTGAATTCATTATGTAATTTATTGATTTTGACATGCACCTGCCATATTTTATTGACACATGAAGCGGCGAAATGAATTCCACATGGTGCATTTGTCGCATATATCACGATTTCAACCTATGTTCAAGTTGTAACATTAGTTGCATGTGATAATCTGTTTTTTGTCAATCTTGCGTCCTACATCCCACCAATGCCTTATATTTTCAGACTATTATTTCATATTTTATAATATCCTGCTACAGTTGATATGGGCGAACCGAAATTACTGAACCACTTTTATTTTAATACATCAGACCTGATACATGATTGGATAAATTGATTTGGACTAGAGTCCAATCAGATTGACGGACGACGTGCTTATTCAACGTCGTTCCCTGTAGGTCGGCCAACATTTTATCTGTTCGACAGTACTGCAACAATACACGCTGCTTTTCAACCAAGCCTCGTACAAAGAGATTTCTGGTTTCGATGTGCTTGGTAGCCTTATGGTTTCCAGGATTTCTCACATTTGCAATTGCTGCTGTTTTGGCACACCATACAACAATAGGTTTTGTTGGGGCAAATTCCATCTCTGTAAGCAAGTGGTAAAGCCATTCGCTTTCCTTTACTCGCTTAGTGCAATAAGCTTAGAAATAGCAACACAGACTTGTTTGCTACTGCATACAAGTACCAGTTATCATAATCAGAAAGCCTGTGACACTTTTACGTTCGTTGTTTTGAGATGCGAAGATGCATCTGTGTAAACCTCGTAGGAAAATCAAGAGGCCATACGTTGATGTTCCTTTCAAGTATTTCAGATCTCTCAGTGCTGCTTCCCAATGCATTTGATTGTAGCAGGATAGGAATTTGCTAAGCTCGCGGACTGCATTTGCAATTTCTGGCCTAGTACTACGTACAAGATACTGTAATGATCAGATTGTTGCCTCTCAACTTGACGGGCCTTGCGAAGTCCGATCCAAAGGCAAATCACAAAGTGAATTCCCCCCAGTGGCAAGTAGTCACTGGGGCTTAACCCTAACCTAACCAGACAGCTGCTGGGCAGCCAATAATCTAACTAGCAAATAGGATCACACCCAGTATATCCAACCTAATCGAACACTTGGATACCTTCTTGGGAGGGATTCAGGGGTTCTGCGAATGGCAAATTCGCAACAATCCCCCCCAACGATTGCGTCACGTTCAACGCAGCTGCCATCGCCTTGATTTGGGGATCGGCCTTGTTTGAGCGCACGTAGCGCTTGAACTCGGTTGGAATGTCTTCCAACAAATTGGCCGCCGGCTCCCACGAGTCTTCAATTGCTTGTAGGCCGCGCCAGCGCACACACACCACTTGAGCTGGTCCACGCCATGTAACACTCAGCTTTGAGTGCGAAATCGGCCACACGTCTATATAAAGCACAAAATCGCCCACGTCGAATTGGGCCATTTCTGCAACTTTTTTCTTCGATCTTCTTTCACGGTTTTTCTTACGCTTTCTTGTCGCAGCGTCCAACACCGTCGCATGCATCTTGTCCAAGGCGGTTGCCATCGCTGCCATGTCATCATTTCGCCACGAAAGCAAGTCGTGTAACGTTGTAACTTTTGTCGCCGCTGGAATTGGAATGCGATCCAAGGGCGACATCGCTCGGATACCCGTCATGGCAATAATCGGTGCCACACCACCGAGTGTGTCGGACGGACTTTGGTTGAGGACCAACATCACCACTGGGACAATCAGCCGCCACTGGTCTGGCTGCATCAACCACTCGGACAGGAGTGCACAGAACGCCTTCAGGGTCGTTTTCATCGCACTTTCGACTGTTCCGTTCGCCCACGGACATCTGGCCGTGGTAAATGATGATGTGCCCCCAGCACATGCTTGAGCTCGGCAATCACCTCGTTCTTGAAGTGGGATCCCTGGTCACTCACCCAGTGATAACACACG